AGGTGGGTGCGCGCAATTCAATAACTCGTGTGCAAAGAGTTGACGACGGCAACGACGACGACGACGTTGGGTGAGGCTGGCGCTCGATTGTAAACAAAACTCGTAATTTGAATTCCTTGCTCTGTTTCGGGACAGCGGGGCAAAGTCCTGCCTTTGTCGGTAGAGGGGAGAGTGGAGTAGTAGGTGCAATAACAAAAGCCGATTTCGCTTTGACGCTGGCAAACGTATGCTCTGCTGTGTAGGCGTGGCATGTGTGTAATTTTTTATTACGAAATTGCTCGTGCTTTGTGTTCATTGTTTATTTGACGCCCGCAGTGCCAGCAGTCGAAAGCTTTGCTTTATGCCTTGTGCATGGCGCGCAAAAGTATGCTATAAAAATTTGCAACTAGCAGGAGCAGAGCAGGAGCAGTAAAGGCAGCAGCAGCATTATTAATTGTTAATTTCATAATTTTTTCTTTTCTTTTCAGATGCAACTTACAACAGACAGGCAGAGATCTGTAATTATGGCGTCATATTCTAAACAATAAAATTTTACTGTCTTTATAAATTGTGTGATTTTATTGATAGGAAGTTACCTGAGTGTGTGTGTGTGTGTGTGTGTGTGTGTGTGTGTGTGTGTGTAAATGTGTGTTATGGTGTCTATTTGGCTTTAAGCCGCCTACAAGCTAACACATATGGCTTGTTAACAAGCCCTGGGCTGCCACTTCCTGCCCCTTCCACACTTTTAGACAGCGAGAAGCTGCAAACGCACAAAGCAACTGAAAGTCATGCTGAATGTGTGTGTTGTGGGTGTGTGTGTGTGTGTGAGGGAGGGAGTGTGCGCGCTTGTTTCTTTACTTTTTAGCCTTTTGGCTGTGCGGCATTCCTGTTGCGCTTAAGCAGCTCTGGCAGCTCTGCCTATTTGCCAGCAATTTTCATGCTGTGTCACGTTATTTATTTTTTGTCGTAATTTTTGAGCCCTTTCATGGCGGCTGCTGCTGCTGCTGCTGCTGTAGCTGCCAAAAAGTTTGCCAGCACCGAAATTACCATAAAAGCAACGTTCGGCTGTGTAAGCTCTGTGTGGTGGGCGCGGCAATTGAATATGTATGTGCTCTGTGTGTGTGTGTGTGTGTGGTGCCTAAATTATTTTGTTAATATATTGCGTTATCGCCAAAGAGTAGGCAACGCTGGCGTCTTCGCTGCTTTTGTCAGCAATTTTATGGCTAAGCATGTGACAGCTAAGCCCTTAATACAAAAAAAAAAAAAAAAAAAAAAAAAAATGCGCGGCACAACTAACCCTTAATATAAACCAAACCAAATATGGCCCGGCTGGTAAGCACAGTTCGAAACTGACCGCTAAGCCTTAAAGCGCATTGCGGTCAGTTTTGCTACACAATGTTGTTGTTGTTGTTGTTGTTGTTGCCGTTGTTGCTCTGCTGGGCAGCTAAATCCCCTTATGTTATTTTTGTAAAGCCCAACTAAGGGCGCGCTTGACTTTAATGGCACTCTGACAGCAGCAGCTGTAGCTGTAGCTGGGGCAGTGGGGCGTGGGGGCCGAAGTCACGCACTTCTAGAGCAAATATCTTAAATACTTTCGACATTTCTTATACTTGTAAAACTCGGCGTCATTTGAAAAATATGTTGCATTGGCGTCTTTGGGGCGGCCGCTCCTGCCAACCCCCATCCCCCACTCTGCGCAGTGTCCGTTTAGTACCTACCCTAAAGCGCATGTGTGCGTGTGTCCATTCCTTTGGTGTTCTCTAAGACTAAATAATCCCCTTTCAATTGGCCTTTAACGGCTGCATTGCGATGTGACCGGAAATACCTTAACCACCTTCACACATTATGGGGCTAATTTGGGCGGAACTATCAAAATAATATATTGTGATGGGTTTATTTGAAACTCCACATATGAGTAGCCATGTAATAAAGACTTTTTCCGACTTTTGCCATGGAAAATAGAATTTTTATTTTTGCGCCTACTAAATGTCTATTTAAGCAAAGACCTAAACCATGCCATGTTAAATAAAGAATGTATGTCAATATGTTTGCGTGCAGTGGAATGCAGAAATGAGTTCAAATGGATGAGCATAAAAAACACTCACACTCACACGCCTGTATTTCCTTGCTTTGAGCTTAATATGTGTAGTCTAGAGAGTCTCACCATCCGCAGATGGGCGCACAGAAAGCATAGATCACAACTTGTTCCACAGCTTTAAAGCTCAACTGAGCGCCTTTGATCGTCCATACGTGAGCACAAACACGAACACACACTCAGAATCACAGGCAATGCGGCACCAATTCAAAAGCAGTGTCTGGAAGGTAAGAGCGTGGAATGTATTTGTCGAGTTATTAACTTCTATTTCTCTTATGCTACGCTCAGTCGCTTACGAGTAGCCGAACTTATCACGTTTGGGATGCACAGTTTTTATTTTGCCTGAAATTACATGCATACATACATAATAATTAAGTGATAAATTACATATTACATATAATTAGAACCATTTTTAATTATTTATACATATTATTGTGATATTTATATTATTTATTTTCAATATGCTGAATGCATTTGAATGTATGTAAAAATACACATATACATATGTATATACATACATATGTATGCGTATGAATATTTTATATACAGCCTATAAGCCTATGTTGTAAGATAAAGGAAATTAGTTTGCTGACAAAAATAAATAATTGTAGAAAATTTATAATTGACTTTGCAAGTTACATGGATAGTTAAACAGAAAATCACACAAAATATTCTTCGGTACATGTACATATTTATGCACATGTACATACATACATACTTACATACCTACATATGTATATCCATATGCATACCCAAATACAGAAATAATAAATTGAAGAGAATAGCAAAAACATAACGTAAGTGCCTATGTGCATGTTCTTATGTGCTGCTGAGAAAAGCTCAATTAACTGTGCTATGTGATTACACATTTTGTGTATGTGTGCAATGCAAAAGTTCTCTCTCTTCACTTTCTAGACGCAATGCAATGCAATGCAGAGTCTGCATGAAGTTTAGGTTCCACATATTCAAACATACAAATGTATGCTCAGCCACTCGCACACTCAATGACAAGATCGAGCGTTTTGCTATGAGAGTTTCTTGAGAACTTTAACATGAATGGAATTATACTTATTCGCAATATGTTGGGTGAAACATATATATTTCTATATTTTTATTCGCATATTAATTTGTTTCTTCCACAGCTGCTTTGCATTGTCCTATTAGATGCACTTTGATGACCTATGTCGCTTCGAGTCTTTTTGAACTTATTGACTGTGAATGCCATTGAGTCCCCGACCTTGTGAGTAAACATACATATATCTCCCCATAATTTAAATTACTTATTTTTCTTCTTTTTCCCGGTAATCCATTGCGCCACAGGAATAATATCACGGAGCCGAATTCAGGGGTTTAAGACTCTTGCTGCTAATCTTAGACTTTGCATTGATTAAATTGATCGAGAATCGATGCCAAGCATTATGTATGCATTTGCTTCAGTCCAACCCAACAATGAATGGTACCCAGTAGACTATATATGTTCTTGGTAAAGCCATGCCATTAATATTGTCTTGGTGAACCTAAAATTATATTTCCTTTCTCTTTTGCAATGGAATGCGGCCAATGTATTTATGCGTGTTCTTTCAGACTCTCTTTAGAAACAGCTCTGGTTTAAGTCGAAATTACATTAAACATGATCATGACATGCCCATGGAAACTCAACTTAACAGAGCTCAATTTACTTAATTACTCATATGCAAGCGACTTATATTAGCTTTACATAAGTGGCTATTTTAACATAGCTCACTTAATTTGAGCTTTTTGTTTACAGTGCAATTTACGTTCCACTCTGTTATTTAACAGTACCACGATAAATAACATTTTTCTCCCTACTGATGATTTCTGTTGGCCTAGTATTTCAGTCTTATTTTCATTAAAATTCGTAACAAAATCGGTCAGCGATAGAGACACACAGCATCCAAACAATTTTGTATGTCGCATTTGGACTAATTTGAACGAAAATCGCCTGACGTACCAGGCTTACATAAGTGACTTGTAGGCAATCCAGTATCATGATCTATCCAGTATCATGATCTATCCATGAAAGCCCAGCTTATTTCACTTATTTCTCTTAAGTTCCACATGAGTGATAGCATAGCTTCGTCTATTTGAGCTTTTAGTTAAATGGGCAGCTTACGTTCCACTATGTATTTGAGCTGTTATCTAATATTTTTCATCCTACTGATGATTGCTGCTCACCTGGTATTTCAATTTTACTTTTGTTGAAAATTTTATGTTGATAAATCGATAAATAAAAGCAGTGTGGAACGTAAGCCCAATATGTGAGTAAACTACATTGCAGATGCTGTTTGATATGGTATTATCAAAAACAGATCGGTCTACTGGGCACCACTATAGGGGCCTAATAATGAGGATATATGCATAAGTAAAAATACAAAAACAAAATGTTAATTTTTATTCCTTTATTTAAAAATAAACTTGGTTTTGAAAATATTTTGTACAGTTTTTAATTGACATTTGTAATGGTCTTTGCATCACATCAGAGCTCGTATCCAAAAGCATCCAATCCAATATTATTATTTAAGATTTATACGGGAATGAACTTTCAAATAATATACTTGCTCTGCCAGATGTGACTCGAAAAGAGAATAAAAATTTATTGTTAGTTAGAGTGGCAGATTTAATTATACTTCCAAGTGAAACGGACTCTGAGATGGTCGAGAGCGATTTCGCTACAAAAATACAAATTTAAATTTATGCAAAATATTAGATTCATTTTCTTTGATAATGCTGACAAGTTCTTAAACAACAAAAAGAGAAATATAATTATGATCACATAAATATATAAATTAGCTTCAGCTATTATATTGGGAAATAGCGTACCAAGTTATATAAAGCCAAGTGAGTATATAGCATATCAAATGCAGTCATATAAGACTATATTAATATATTTTTCATTGGTGCTTAGTACACATAGAGAATGTCGACAAGTAAGGCTAATATGAGTACTGGATTATTTTTATTTTGCTTTACTAACTGTACAGTCCCATAAAGTGAGCAATCTACCATCTGCAAATAAATTAATGTCAAATTCGTGCAAATTCACACAATAGTCTAATTTCTCAGCGCTCTTCAAAAGATCCTTGAAGAAATGGACCTTTTTTAACGCTTTTTGAAGAATGACAAAATTCACAGAAGTTACTCGTCCTTAAAAATATTTCGATTATATAACAAACGACGATTAGATCTGGAGGAACAGAGGGAGATCGTGTGAGTCACATCAATTTCGAAATGCTATCACTTCCACAAGGATACAAGTGCAAGAAGTTTTTATAGCAACAACAGCAATAACAACGACTACAACAACAACAATAACAACATCAATGGCCAAGTACTTTGATATCGTCGATGCTGACTGTACCCTAAATGGACCGTATATATATCACATTTAGCCGATTTCAATTTGAAAAGTATTCCAATTAAAGCGTTGCCTTAACTGTATGCAAATCTTTTTTAATCTCTTCCTATTCATAGTTCATAAAAATATTCCTATTTTTTGAAGATTTGTCTCTCGTGCAAACGTTTACAGCATGCATTACTTAGGCACAGACGATCATAGTGCCAGATAAATGCATACGTACGGATAGTGGCGGAGTCCCGAGGAGAGAGAGAGAGAGAAAGAAAGAAAGAGAGAAATAATGCAGAGTGTTTGATAAAAATTAGTTGTTGAGAGCAAGATTGTGGGTTGTTGTTGCTGTGGGCATTGATGATGTTGTTGTTGTTGCAGCCATTGATGCTGAATTTGCTGTTTTTGTTGTTGTTGTTGCGCTTTTGGTTGTGGCTATTGCTGTTGTTGGTGTAGCGCATCCATTTTTCCAAGGATATATGTATATCTCATCTTTTTAAGAACGCTGCAAAATAAGATTATTGTGTGAGTTTGCAATAATTTGACATTAATTTGTTTACAGATTGTAGATTGCTTACTTTATAGAATTTTATAGTTAGTATGTTATAAAGCAAAATAAAAATAATCCAGTACCACCTCATATTAGCCTTAAGTGAAGACATTCTCTATGTTTACTAAGCACCATGCAATGAAAAATATATTTATGTATTCATAAGTATTGTCTTATATAACTTCATTTCTTACGCTATATACATACGTGGCTACATATAACTGCACTAGTTACGCTATTTTCCAATATAATATGCTGTACCTACATAAGCAAACATGGCACTACTCAGAATATAAACCACTCAACAAGCACTCAAAAAGAATAATTTCCACGCCCTTATGATCCACATTACTCGCAAACTACAATTAATACACATTCACCATTGAAATGCATGTATGTGTGCATCTGTGGATCTTAGTCCCAATCACGAAATCGCTCAGTTCCCCTTCCTTTTTATCCAACTGCGCTCTGACAGTAGATTCTATGTAGCATTCCAGTGAGTGGGATTTTGACTATGAGAGGAAAATATTAAAGATAGGTGTGTGGATGCTAAGTTTACAAACACTATTGCAGCCAACAAACAGCATGCAGACATACATATATATTTATATAACTATATACATACACAATAATGAATGTGTAGATCAAATTCAAATATATACATACATACACATATAATTCTTCCAAAACTATTTAAATTTAATATGGCGCAACTTGAACTAATGTCTATAATATAACTTTCAATTGCATGAATAATTTATGTACAAAAATCAATTTTTTCAATTCAGCAGTATGTGTGTATTAATAAATAATTACTTGATATGTATGCAACTCCAAGATATTGTGCGCATCATCTATGATCAAACTGAAATTCCCGAACAACTGAAAACAACTGACGACAATAAAGCTCAATAATCACTCAACATAGCCATTAGTTGGTGTGAGAGTATGTGTGTATGTGTGGATCCTCTCAGTAACTGCAACGAAAGTTGGTTGTGCACATGTATGCGCATTTGTATGGATACAACTCACTTCATATGTATGTATATATGCATCCGTGTGGATTCTCTCATCTACTTTCTAAGAAAGCACTCAGTTCAGTATCTGTATGTATACGCATACTCGAATAGAGCTCTCAAAATAGATAGAGTAATTAAATATGTACATATGTATGTATATTTACATGGCTTGGGTTGGGCATGTGATTAACCTGCGGAATTCTGTCAAACGACTCGGCACTAGTTTACAGAATTTAAAAGCTTTTAATCACTCATTTATGACTATCAATTTCATCATTTTATTTTTTTTTTTCATTTTCTGTACATACGAATCTTACCATGCATGTGTGTGTACGAGTGAATCCTCTCAGCAACTATTGTGAAAGCTCTGAATATAGTGGTATGTGTCTCCGCGTGGACTCTCTCAGCAACTACTACAAAAGCTTATACTGAATTTCTATCAAATCTACTGCTGACTGCTCCCTGTGGATTCTATTTAAGATGATAAAGAGTAAATTGCACTTGGAGCAAGGAAATATATCTGGAAGCGTTAAATGGATATAGTATAATGTAAATTGTGTCAGACACATACATATTTTCTATTATTTTATGATTTATTCTAAAATCTTTGCTCAATGGCCAAAGCTTTCTTCTTAGATAAATACATATAAAACACATTAGTTGCTTGCATGTTTCTGGCCTATATTGGCATTTGCTTATTATGTTGTATTTCAATTGGAATTAAGTAGAACAGTATATTCGTAAATATGTATATAGATAATTTTGGTGGAGTCGTCGTATTTTATTTATTCTTTGGACTCGATAGGTCGTAGCGTCAATGGGTGGGCGATTCTCCTAGGCTCGCGGCTGTATGCAACGCGTATTCTCTGGTAAATCGCAGATGCCCTTGAGCGCATTGAAGTACTTGGCGCCGCAGCTCACCTGCAGGGGCTTGCCGTAGCGACAGATATAATAGTAGTTGCAGCTCGTCAGGGAGGCAAGCATAAAGCCGTCGGGCTTGTTACGGCACACATAGGTGGTGTAGAGGTTCATGCTTAGCTCATTCGACGGCCCACCCAATGGCATCAGATGCTGATCCATGACCGCAGGCAAAGCGCTGTGCAAAGGTCTCGCTGCGGGCCTTACATAAACAGATGAAGGTCTTACTTTACCGCTAGAGCTTCCAGGAGCACAAGCCGTTGTTGTTATTTGTCCACTGCAAGTGGTTGTTGTGCAGGTTGTCGGGGTGGTGATCGGTGCACAGGTGGTTGTTGTACAGGTTGTTGGTGTGGTGATCGGTGCACAGGTGGTTGTTGTACAAGTAGTTGGGGTCGTGATCGGTGCACAGGTGGTTGTTGTACAAGTAGTTGGGGTCGTGATCGGTGCACAGGTGGTTGTTGTACAGGTTGTTGTTGTTGTTGTTTTACATGTAGTTGTTGTTGTTGTACATGTAGTAGTTGTTGGGGTTGTACATGTTGTCGTAGTGCAAGTGGTTGTTGTTGTTGTTGTACATGTTGTCGTAGTGCAAGTGGTTGTTGTTGTTGTTGTACATGTTGTCGTAGTGCAAGTGGTTGTTGTTGGTGTCGTACATGTTGTCGTAGTGCAAGTGGTTGTTGTTGGTGTCGTTGTACAAGTAGTTGTTGTTGGTGTCGTACATGTTGTAGTAGTGCAAGTGGTTGTTGTTGGTGTTGTACAAGTAGTTGTCTTTGTTGTGGTTGTTTTTGTTGTTGTGCAAGTAGTTGTTGTTGGTGTCGTACATGTTGTAGTAGTGCAAGTGGTTGTTGTTGGTGTTGTACAAGTAGTTGTCTTTGTTGTGGTTGTTTTTGTTGTTGTGCAAGTAGTTGTTGTTGGTGTCGTACATGTTGTAGTAGTGCAAGTGGTTGTTGTTGGTGTTGTACAAGTAGTTGTTGTTGGTGTCGCACATGTTGTCGTAGTGCAAGTGGTTGTTGCTGGTGTCGTCTCTGAGTTACAGGGTGGAGTTGTCTCTGGCTCACATGGGGGAGTCGTGACTTCAGCACAGGGAGTGGTTGTCGGTACTGTCTCACCACACGGCTCCACATTGTTGCTAACAACGGGTCCTGCCACTTGCATCACTTCAACGCATCCTGTGTTATAGTTGACACAACCCTGAACCTTCGGGTCATAGAATCCGGGGCAACTGGTCTCGGAAGCGACACCGTTCTGGCACTCGTAGAATCTAGAGCAGCTACCGGGCACCAGAGCGCGGAATCCATTCGACTTGTTCAGGCACACGTAGCGGCGATACAGCGAATTGTTGACGACCTTCACCGTGGGTCGTATGTTGGCGGCTCCAGTGGTAGCCACCAAAACAGCCAGGCAGGCAAGGACTAAAAGACGAGATCAGACATTTATAGTTAAGTCCTTGATGGTGTTGCAAGTGCCCACATACCGTAATGGGCTCTCATCTTCAATCGGCCGAGAGAGCGGGACAGCTATTCCTGTTTTGCTTTTGCTGGGGCTTCGAACTTGATACAAAGAATTGCACAAGCTGCTTTACTCAAATGACATTATTGCCAGGGGCAGTCGCTTTTATATGGTAGCGCGCCGCCAAACGGGCCGATAGGCCGATAGGCAACCGAATTGTGTTGAGATGCCTTATCGACATGTCGTTGCGATAAGTATCTGATAGAGCGCCGTTTTCCGCTGTTACCTTGATATTAACTGCTGCTCGGGATGCTGGGCGGTACCTGATTTGTATGTTTTTGATGTCTTTTGCCCACTGGCATATCTTATCGATAGAAGCAAAAATCACCTACTGCTGCTTCTTCTTTTTTAATTTATTTAATTGTGCTTACTCAGAAATTTGACAAGCGGTACACTTCATGCGTGACTCTCGTCAACTTTTGTATACAAATTAACATCAAATCAGGTACTTACGGCCAAGACAACGGCATTGCCATACCAAATGCAATTCAGTTCAGAATTTGGCATTAATGTTGCAATAGCCAGCCAACAATAGGACAACACGCAAGTAGACAAACATAAAGCCTTCTCTCTCTGCTCCTCTATCAGCATATCTTCCTCCCTACGCCCCTATTTATCCCTTTCGGAGTATCTCTCTCTCTCTTCTATATCGCCATGAATGTGGTCAGTGCCGTTAATTTATCAAAGGAATTTACCATTGCTTAATTAATTAGATGCTTGACCCACACCCGATTTACACGCAGAGCACTGAGAAGTCCGGCAATTTAAATTGAATTACCGGACTCAAATAGTGATTAATATTAGATTTAGTATTCATGAATACCGTTGTTTATATATGTATGTATGTATACATAACATCTACATATATCTATATTGTCATATACGCAAGGAAACCCCTATATATTTAGGGTAGGTAAAATATGACATTTTAGTCGCAATCGGTTCGTTCATTGTTTGAGAAAACCAAATTTTGTTAGGAAATAAGATTTGCCATGCCCACAATATGTTGAAATATGTACGATCTTTAGAGTAGAGCTGTCAGTGCCGGGCGTAGATATCTATATATCTTATTACTTTGACAATGTTACATAGTTTATACTAACACAGACTAAAGCGAAATATAAAAGTATTTTAATGACGAAGCCTATCCTATCCATCTTATTTTCGAATAGCGGCTGACAATTTGAAAAGTACTTATACATAAAATACACTATACAAAATACCGGCATCAATGCGATTCTCATAAGTTTTCGTATTTAAGCAATAAAATAACAAATAGCTACTAATTTAACAGATTTTATTTATATTTTTATTAATACTACTCCTATTACTATTATTACTACTACTACTGCTATTACTACTACTACTTTTACTATTATTACTACTACTACTGCTATTACTACTACTACTTTTACTATTATTACTACTACTACTATTACTATTATTACTACTACTACTGCTATTACTACTACTACTTTTACTATTATTACTACTACTACTGCTATTACTACTACTACTACTACTACTACTACTGCTATTACTACTACTACTATAACTATTATTACTACTACTACTACTATTACTACTACTACTTTTACTACTACTATTACTACTACTACTACTATTACTATTATCACTACTACTATTACTACTACTACTGTAATTACTATTATTACTACCAGTACTACTACTACTACTACTACTGTTACTATTATTACTACTACTACTATTACTATTATTACTACTACTACTATTACTATTATTACTACTACTACTTTTACTATTATTACTACTACTACTGCTATTACTATTATTACAAATACTACTGATTTACAATAACCATTACCAAAATATTATTTGCATGAACTGCTCTTATTTCACTAAAAATGTAAATTTAATAATAATAATTTCTCATCCTCATTATTAAATTTAAGAAACAAATTCTAAATAAACTTCATAAAAAAAAAATAAATTCTAAAAAAAAAAAAAAAAATTAAAAAAACTATTCTTAATCTAAATTCACAATAACTGGAAATTCTCTTAGTCAACAATTTGTCACTCGATGAAAGTCTGTTGATTGCAATTTTTATTGACAATTGTCGAAACATGTTGTAGCTTGTGTGTTCGCGTATTTTTTGGAGTCCCAATTGATAGGCATCAATGGTGCTGATGTCGTCGCTGCTATATGGGATGCCCGGAATAATTGCCAATTATAATCAATTTGATAAGAAATTGGAATGATAGATATATATATGTACATATGTACATACATAGATCAAAACCAAGCATTATCGTTTTCGTAACAAGAATTATGCGTGCACGACGGCCTCTTGGCTCCGAAACGTCAAGTAATTATCATAGACCATGCCTCATTGTGATCGACCAATCTGGAGCTATAGAACAGACACGTGCTCAGCGGAAATATGTATATTAACTACACATGTAGTAGGCATAACAAAAGGAAGAGAAATCAATTACATTAAAATAGAAGCAAGAATGTTGCCGACGCGCGCTACCAACTGCATAATACTCGTTCAAGGGCTTAATAACTTTCATAGAAGTAACAGGAAGAAGTCTGTAGTTTCTCTTTTTGAAAACATTTAAGCTTTAAAATAATTCAATATATATTGGTATCCAATTGGCGAATACAATTTTGATTTTAGCCAATCAATTGACTTAACTTATTAAATCTTGAGTTCTTAATTTAAGTATGTATTTTCATGATTTGCCACTAGAGCTATACAAAAACATTGAGATTTATAGGATATTTTTCTGTGTGTCAGGTGCAAAGGGACATGAAAATTAATCTCAGTTCATCATTATTAAATTTCAGTTTTTACCTTAAAAGCTGTTGAGCATATGTATTACCGTTTCGCTGATTGCTACAAGCCGTATTGTCTCGGATATATTCGCTATATATATTTGATCTTGACATAATTAGAATATGAAGATTCTAGAGCGTTAGTATACCGAATATACACCCCTAGTGGACGTATCGCAAAATTTATTCGCTTTTTCAGCCGAGGTCTGTGGCCTAAAAGACGCCTTCACTTCTTGAATGAGTTAAGAAAGAATTGAAAAGTGTTGTGGATAAATTCAGGATAGCTCCGCTCAGCTTGTTCAATCATACATTTATCGGAGCTTACTCCATCTTATATGTATACATAATTGTAATTGAATGCCAAGTTTTAACATTAATTATATTTCACTTTATCTAACCTAGACCTCGAGCTAATAAGTATAGAAATGTCACAAGATAAGAGATAAAGAAACCGTGGACGAAGTTCGGGCAGACCAAATACAAGCAATAGCAAAATAAATTTTAATGAAATAAAATTTGATATTGATATTTTAATGAAATAAAATGATATTGTTTCTAGTATTTTTTTTACTTTTATTTTATTTTTTTATGATATATATTTACATTGATATATGATAGTATAGTAATTCAAATTGTTATTTGGTCAACCTAAAACCAATTCGAATTTTCAATTTGCATTTTCAGCACATGGCAACCTCTTCACTGACAAAAATGTTTTGCTGGCCCAAACATTTAACCTACACAAGGTTGGAGATTAGCCGAAGCGATATGACCCAAAAGCAAGTGAAAATTAATATGAAATTAGAATTCAATTTGGGTAGAAAAAAAAAAATAACCTAAATTATCAAATGAACATTAAGCGCGGCCAACGACAACGACAGCGACAACAAGCTGTTAGCGTATAAAAAGTGTTTGCTATTACCGGCAATTACATTAAAATCAGTCACAACAACAGTAACAACAACAACAAAAACAACAACAAAAACAGCAACAACAACTGTCGTCGCCAACATAACAACAAAATACGTATATAATAAAACATTTCAACGAAATTGAATTGAGTTTGTGTAACGTCAACCCTTTCAAGGTGGTCGCTCGGCTTGCCGGAAGGTGGAAGGTGGCTCGATTCCGGCTGGTTTCGAGCGGTACGGCGTGTAGAGGGTAGAGGTAGGGTGTTGGGGTTTCGGGTTGCCAAGTGCGCTGGAATTTCGTAGTTGTTGTTGGTTATGCGAACAACAGTGCAACATTTTTTTTTTATGCTGGTCAACGCCTACGGCGCATTAGCCAACACTGGCGAGTTATGGGCGCCAAGAGAGACGGAGAGAGAGAGAGAGAGTAAGAAAGATTTAGATTATGCATGCATTGTATTTCGTGTGCTGTTTCTCAACAAAATCAATATTTTCAACAACAAAAAGAAAAAAGAACTTTAAATATTTCATGTGCTTGCTGCGCGGCGAGCTTATTTATGCGACTTTATTTTACAGTTGACTAAATGCAGCAGCAGCAGTCGGAGTCGATGAAGAAGAAGAAAAGGAGGTGGCAGTAGCGGCGAAAAGAGAAACAAAAGAAATCACTTAACCCTTGAGCGACCCCGACACATGCGAAATTGACTTGAATTATCGAATTTCGCATGGGTTCTGCGACTGGGCATGGGCATGGTCTGTCGAGCGACCCTTTTATCAAACTTGAACTCAAGTTCAAGCAGCAAAACATTTAAGTGTTTGCCAAGAAGCCGATAGTGCTGAACACCCAAATACCCTATAAATCAATACAAGTGTTGATTTTATATAGAAAAATGAAAAATTAGATAAGATATGGGAACAAATTTGGAAATAAATAGAAGACTGAAGATGGATCCAGCTAAAATATATAATATCATATACATATATATTTTAATCAGCCTCTCGCTGCTGAGTCTGTGGTCGAGATACCCCTTAGCAGTTCACTGAGCGGAAATAAAAAAGAGAAAAGAGAGCAACAGACGCGTAGCCGAGGGAAACGAGGGAATCAAACGGAATATAAATCAGTTTAATGATTTTTATGCCAGCGAAAACAAAAAGCAGCCAGACAGAGATAGATACCCAGCGAAAAAGAGAGGGAGAGAGAGAGAGAGAGAGGGAGAGTGTTGGAGAGGCAAAAGTAGAGCGTGGGCTGTGTTTGCATTGCTTTGCTTGCCGCCGGAAGCGGAAGTTGGCGAAGTGTGCGAAAAAGCTCATCTAAAAAAAAAAAAAGAAGAAAATATAAAATAGAATAAAATAACAAAAA